TCAGTACTTTATATTGAGTAGTATGGTTTTTCAAATTTATGACATCTTGTTCCATTTTTGCTACTTCTGCTGCTTTTTCTGACATTTTTTTCGCATATTCCTCTGTACTTAGTTCTTTCAGTTGTTCTTCTTTCTTCTTTTTCTCTACGTTTAACTCATTGAGTTTCTTTGTGTGTCTGTCATATTCTAGTTTCTTTTCGTTTTCACTTATTTGCTTCTGTATGTCTATGTTTGACTTTTTGACATCTGTTATTTGATTTTTGAGTGAACTCAAATTCATTTGACTTTGAGGGTTATAGGCTGTTCCGTCTGCAGCTCCACCATAGCCTGCCATTTTCGCTAAAAGTGCCGCTCTTAAACCTCCACTCTGTGCACCAACAACTCGGTTTAAAAGCATAGGATTGCTTGACATTTGTTGCAACATAGTGGGGTCATTCAGCATTTGTTGTTGCAACTGTTGTTGTGGTGTCAGTTTTACTTTTGGATGTTTCAATGCTCCCTTCCTCTTACGTATATTCTTACGTAGCTTACGTGGCATTTTAAGTGAAGTTAAAAAGCGGCTTTTGACAGATGTTTATATGACACTTTTTGTTCAGCACAAAAAACTACTCGGTCAAAGTGTTGTCAGTTTGGGTCTTGGGCAAAATTTCTTATGGGCTAGAGGGCGCAACGCGCCTGGAAGCCCACACACACCCCTACGGTCCTCCTCTTTGGTCTTGGGCAAAATTTCTTATGGGCTAGAAGGGGCGCAGCCCCTGGAAGCCCCACTACCTTTTTTTTTTTTTTTTTTTTTTTTTTTTTTTTTTTTTTTAAATATGAAATGAAAGAGAATAAGTATCATGTTAACATCAGAACCGTGTTCAACTAGGAATTTGACAATTTCTATCGATTTCACTTCGACGGCAATACTAAGAGGGCATTCATTAATATCGAGAGAATGTCATAAAACAATGATAAATATGAAAAGAAAGAGAATTTTATAAAACAATGATAAACATGAAAAGAAAGATAATCCAATAAAACAATGATAAATATGAAATGAAAGAGAATGTCATAAAACAATGATAAATATGAAATGAAAGAGAATGTCATAAAACAATGATAAATATGAAATGAAAGCGAATGTGATAAAACAATGATAAATATGAAAAGAAAGATAATATGATAAAAAATGATAAATATGAAATGAAAGATAATGTCATAAAAAAATGATAAACATGAAATGAAAGATAATCAAATAAAACAATGATAAATATGAAAAGAAAGATAATGCAATAAAACAATGATAAATATGAGAAGAAAGAGAATGTGATAAAACAATGATAAATATGAAATGAAAGAGAATGTGATAAAACAATGATAAATATGAAATGAAAGATAATATAGGGTGTCCAAAGGTGCGTTTAGCACAGCGCTCTATATGAGACTATTAAAGGAGATATATGCTGATTATAAATATATAATAAAAAATATGAATATATGTATATGATGAGTATGTTGTATTTTGGCGCCATGCCGGGATATAAAATGAATTTTGAGACAAGAGGCGGTTTCGCGGGAAATTTTGGCGGGATTTTTTTTCATTTTTTTAATGAATCATAAAGAAAACATCCTCGCTCTTGCAAAAAAATGCAAAGACTGTAAAAAATCTACGAGACATTGGTAAAATGCTTCGGTATGGATGCTCCTAGCTATTCCACTGTAACGTATCATGTTAGGATGTATCACTTCATGAACAAAAAGGCGCCCATCATAAAAATTGACAAAAAATCGCCGGATCAAAGAAAAATCAAAGCAATTCTTCAAGCGCTAGATGAAGACCCAAGAGCATCACTCAGAAGGATAGAGGAGATGACAAAGATACCACGTACAACAGTCAGTTATTATCTGCACAATTATTTGAACTATAAACTAGCGTATACACGTTGGGTTCCGCACAACCTTAATTCAGTTCAAAAAAAATCTAGAGTCCAATCTTCGAAAGAGCTCCTCTCTATATTGGGTGCGTATCAATCCAAGAAGTTTCGCTTTTTAGTAACAGGGGACGAGTCTTGGTTTCAATATGCAACAGAAGCCAAAATCATGTGGATCCCGAAGGATGAAAATCCGCAAACATTCCCGAAGAAAAAAATTGACACACCAATGATGATGTTGTCGGTTTTTTGGGCGTGAATGGCATCATCGCAATTGATATTCTTCAAAAACCTAATACGATGAATGCTCAGTATCTAATTGACAATGTTCTTACTCAAATTATCAATTCTGATGAGTTTGAGAAATCCAAACAACAAAAACAAAAGTTTGCAATTCATTTTGATAATTCAAGAGTTCACAAAAGTCATAAGGTAATGAATTACTTGTTGGAAAACAATGTCAAAGTTGTTCCAAACCCAATTTATTCACCTGATATTGCACCCTCTGACTTTTATTTATTCGGCACGCTAAAAAAGAGAGCTGAAGGACGCGAATTCGCGAGTCCAGATGATCTTGAAAATTTTGTAAGAGAGCAATTTGAGCAATTTTCTCATGATGATTTAAAGCGTGTTTTTCAAGCCTGGATCGATCGCTGCGAACGCGTGATTGAATCCAATGGTGATTATATTTAAATAAACTTTATATATATGTAACTTGTTTATTTCTATTCGCAGTATTCAGGTTTGTGCTAAACACACCTTTGGACACCCTATATGATAAAAAAATGATAAATATGAAATGAAAGATAATGTCATAAAAAAATGATAAACATGAAATGAAAGATAATCAAATAACAAAATGATAAATATGAAAAGAAAGATAATGTGATAAAACAATGATAAATATGAAATGAAAGAGAATAAGTTTTATGTTAACATCTGCCCCATGCTCAACTAAGAATTGGACAATTTCTATTGAATTCGCATGGATTGCAATACTAAGAGGGCATTCATTAATATCGAGAGAATGTCATAAATAGGAAATGAAAGATAATTTCATAAAACAATGATAAATATGAAATGAAAGAGAATGTGATAAAACAATGATAAATATGAAATGAAATAGATCATAAATTTTGTTGATATCTTCTCTATTAGTAAGTAAATAAGATGTAACATCATAATTTCCATAATGCATGCTTTCTGCTATTGAATTTGGAGTTTGTCCAAAATTTGATTTAAGATACTCAGCAATTTCATAGATATGATAATCCAATGCTATATTAATCATGTTATCAAAAGATTTACCTTCTTCTATCATTTGCATAAAAATGTTATTATTTCCGCCTTGAACAGCATATTTTTCGGGGTTATTAGTGTATTTAGCTCCTAAATTTTTCAAGTAATTGAAACACAATTCTGAGCCATATTTAATTGAACAATCAAGTGGCGTGATATTATTAATTCTTTCATTAATATCAAGATTTGGGAATTTAGATTTAAGATCATCTACTTTATCCCATGCAATATAGTATAAAGGAGACTCTGTTGAATATAACTTCAGAATTTCTTCTTCTTTCATTTTGGGTTCGAAGTTTTCAAATTTGAAACCTTGATAATGCAGAAGCGTCGCTTATTTCTCATTTTTCGGCTGGATGATGCATGAAAATTTGTTTGTTATCTTTTGATAAAGTTCTGAAAATAATTTCATTTCTTTCACACGAATTTGTGAAAAAACATCAATCAAATAAAGCGCCATTTGGATAGATATTTTGTGAGTTGTTATTAATTCGATAATTTGTGAAGAAATTTGTATAATATTATTGGAATTGACACTCCAAATAATTTTTGATGCTTGATCTGGGTATTCGAATACTTTAATTGGCTTAAGGTCACTGTAATTGCACCAATTTTCATTTTTTGGCTGCTCTGAACTTGTCATGCTTTCTAAAAAAAAATTTGGCTGTGACACTTTTTGTCTTAAAAATGTGAGTTAGAAAGTTACATCCTCTTCTTTAAGGTTATTTTTTGGATATGAAGGCTATTTTTACTCGGCTTTATTGCCTGAACTACTCATTTTGATTCAACAAAAATTACTCCGTTCAGTTTTAAAATGCAGAGTAAAGCATTGTCAGTATTACTTTTGAAAACATTTTGAAGAAAGACAGCTCATTTTGCGAATTAAAAAATGAGTATGTTATTTTGCTCCCACAACCTAGTGGATCCCTTAAAATCATTATATATTAGATAGCATGCACGAAAACGTGTACATTAGAATCCCAATTTTCAATACTCAAAATCTACTGATAGAAAATATCAATAACATGATCGATTCAAATACGCTACTAGTAACAGTATCATTGCTAAATCTTCACTGATTTTTGTCTTTACGATTTCGAGATACGAGATGCATTTCTCAAAATTCATTACTTTAATACAGATGTTTGCATTAAAACATGATGTATATTACTAATATATCTTTTTAACATACTTTTTTACTTCATATTTTCCAATTATTAAACCAAATTTCAAAATAAAACATTCAATACAAAAATTCTAATATTTTATGACTGAAAATGATGTGATTTATTATATTTTTTTTTCTTCGACATCTTTATCAAAATCCTATTAAAGAAATTTCCCAATTCCATATGCATTGCAGAGTGGCAGCCATGATGAAACACTTTCGTATACCCTGTAGAATCTATATAACAAAATTCAAACAAAAACTATCTGTGGAGGTTTAGTGGGTTTACCTTTTTAGAAAGAAAGAATTTTGCATTGTTGATGTTTCCGAGCAACGATTCTACACGAAAGCTTATTAAATATATTTAGTATCTCATTAAACTTCAAATGTTAGCAATTTGCAAATGTAAAGTACAATTTAGAATGATTCATAGATGATTGTATTGTTAAATTCCTAAAATTGAGAGTATATGATCAAAGAAATTAATTTTATTTCAAATAATGAATTAAATCCAATAAAAAGCAACAAAATGTATCTTAAAATAAAAGAAATTCTTTTGTTACTTAAGTAATGTTATTAGTAATAAAATATATCTTTAGTTAAATTAAACAAAAAAAAAATTATTTATGTCTAAATATATCTCCAAACAACTCGATGTTTGAAAGCCAGAAGATCCATTCGTTTCTTGTTGATGGTCCTGTCATCTTAAATCTAATGAATTTCATTGGATCAGTTTGTGGTTCTGTGCAAATCCAGTGGAGGTTTGCGTATGGTTCTTTGTATTCATCTCTGTTGATTCTTTGGTCGACCAAGTACCATTCTTCACCGTCTTTTGAAACTTCTACTTCCCAAGAGCGAATATGTGCCGGACCGTAATGTGTTCTTAGAGAATAGCTTGTTAAAATCAGTTCTGTATTGATTAGCTCGATTTGGACCCATGAATTTGGTACTTTTGGTGATCTCCAGCATCCGTTCCAAGATTTCTCGAGCAAGAACTTGGGATCGCAGCTACTCTTGATTGCAATAATTCCCTTCTCAACAGGATTAGCTCTGTTGCACTTTTGGCTCAAATAATCAAAGACACCTTTCCAATCCTTACCTTCTTCTTTGTTTAATTCGACTTTGGTACCTTCCATGGACAATGTTCCGAAGAATTCGATATCGTGGATGAACAAACAATAGTTATCGCTACCGTTTTTGTCAATTTGAGTCAATCTTATGTATCTAAACTGTTTATCGGTGATGATATCCCAGGTATGATACGTCTTTGACTCGGTTCCGGTGTTGGAATTGCGTTGTTCGTTCAATAACTCCCAATGTACTTCATCATCTGAGCCATCAATTCTCCAGGATCGCATGTATGGCAATTTGACATCGGCAAATATTGTTTTGAGGGTGTATTTGTTCGGTCTGAGCCTGTACTGTTGGAAATCGAACTCAACCCAAGATCCTTGCTCATTTGGTGTGGACCACCAGCTTGTCCATGATGGATCGATGATGTTCTGGAGTGTGGAGTTGCATGTGACCTTAACCATGTTGAAATCTTGTGGATTTCCACTACATCTTTCACACATCATGGCAAAGACACCGTAATCTGGTTTGTTGGGTTTCTGCTTGCAATCAACAACTTCTACATCGTTGGCTTGACGCTGTGTAAGACCATTTCGTAACATATTTAATAATGGAGTACGAATAAGGTTGACGTTGACGTCTGAGCCTTCAAGAAGGTTCTTAATGTAAAAGCGAGATTGATTGTCGAACTTAATGAACTGTAAAAGGCCGGATCGCTTTTCTGGATCTTGGCTGCAGAATCCAATGAGCCATTGGCAGTAGTTTTCGATACTCGTGATGTTTAATTGTGGGTGGTGAAGAATGGAAGCGAGAATGTGTGTCGGAAGTGCTTTGAATTCACGAATTGATTTCATTGACTCGAAATTAACAGCCATGTATTGGATTTGAGGGCCATCGTATTGGGAAACTTGTAAAAGACATTCTATAAGCTCGATGGCTTTCTGCGGTGTAAGTGTCGAGTAAATAAATTCATTTGTCGCTTTCATAAGGAATTCTATGCCTAAATCGGCGGCCATGAGGAAAATAAAATGGGCATTCTCCGAATTAATCGATATCTTCTGGCCTGTTAAAGCAGAAGCTATTAATTCGAAATCTCCTTCAGCTTCGATTCTCATCTCAACGCGAGACAAGGAAGCGTTAGAGAGTAAAAGATGGTGGATTCTGGATGAATAAGCGCAAGCTAAAAAGCGATTTACGTGGTAAGGAATTGAATTATGTAAAATTTCAAGGTCAAAGAAACGTTTGCACTTGGTATTATTTATAAATGGAGATGGGTCGGGTCTGAAAGATATTACACGTGATGGAGCTCCTGAATATGATAAATCAATCAAATGTTGGCTCGGAGCAACAATTGTGAAGGGTGCATCGTTTGCAAAGCCTAATGCTATTTCGTTTGCATCAGTTGTTGGGAATTCAACCACTGCAAAACCTAATCTATTTGCTTCAACTTCATTTTTAACGCGTGCGTCAGTTGGACGGATGTTTTCGAAGTATTCTAAAAGTGTTTTTCTTGTTATTTGATCATCATTGAAAAAGATGAAAATACTAACTCCAAATTTCGTATCTGGCTTTTGTTGGTGGACATGGAGAAGAGTTGTTTTATATTGGATTTGCTGTTTGTTCTCAATGCATTCTTTTTATCCAGTATTTGACTGATATTCGATCAGGGCAAAGCCAACTGGATATTCTTGGCCTTGAAAAGTCTCGCAAAAGATCTTAATACGTTTAATCTCTCCGAACTGCACAAAAAGCTGATATATATCATTTTCTGTGCATTGGGAAAGTACATTTCCGAGATAAACTATATTCGATTCCATTTTTGTCAGATGATCAGAAATTTGATATTTCTTTCGGATTACGATATCCGATGAATATTTTATGTTTCTTGTATTATTTTGGTTATAATCAAAAATTTTCAAAAAAGAATTGATTCGGATTTTTAATTTATTTTAAGATATACTTTTATCTATATACTTTCCTTTGAAGAATCTTTGTCATGATTATGAAATGCTCATTGTTGATTTTTAAATTTCGATTGAAAAATTATACCCAATACATTAAATTCCTTATAGGGTTGTTGAGTATAGGAATGTGCGAATCAAATATTATCTTTTGTTGGACATAATGTCAACAAAAAATGAAAAATCCAGAAGATTTTAATGAACTCATATCACCAAAATCAAGAACAGTAGAAGGTGATAATTGATTAAGGATTCTGAAAAGAAGCCTAAATTATTTTATCGATTATTCTTAGATAGATAACGAAATTGTTCTCGGGCAAAAAGAAATTCATTAATGAATGCATAATTATGTTTATTAATCAAACAAATGATAGTAAACTTAATAGAAATAAATTAAGAAAATTTTTCATAGAGATTGTGAATCAATTAGAATAATCTTAAACATCTGGTATAGGGATTTTCATTGTCTGAAAAACAGGTTTAAGCACAGCAATATCAGGAACTTCTATTAACTGATATTTCAGAGCGAATAGAGCGTAATGTGCAAGCAATGTATTAATAACCGGTTCTATCCCATTAGTATGGAGCATTTTGAAATGACAAAGATACAGGTGATTGTAAATTCTTAAAGTTCTTCGAAATATTGTTTGTATAACAGTGAGAGCATCTTCAGATAGCTCTTTTCCGGTCTCCTTAGGAAAAAGTTGTGTGTTTCCAAGCTTCCTCTTTGACCAAAAGATTAATCGCATCAGATATTCTGGAGCAGAGACCTGAACGGGATCTGTAGTACTTTCATCCTCCCAGAAATAGTGATAGTGAGGTCCTGCATTAAACATTGGGCAAGTTTCGGATGTACAAAATAATGAACAGCATTGAAATAGCTTTTCTGTTCTTTCTAGGAAATCAAGTGCACTTACAATTAGAAAATCGCTTGTTGGCATTCCTTTTGGAGGGGATAGATATTGAAAGAGTGAATGAGTCAAAACTTCTCCTGAAACATGTTTCAGTTGATCGTACCTCTTGGAAAAGATGGCCATATCTTTGGTAACAAGAATTGTTTCACTGCGGGCCTTACTCAATCGTCTGATTCGTGACATAACTTTTAATTTCTCAATTGTCAAATCTATCAATTCAAATCAATTATGACATTCAAATGTTTTGAATGTATATAAATAGCAGAATTATAAATGTTAAAAAAATACAATAAAAATTTTATGACTACGTTACTTTGGAAGAATCGTCTATTTTTTCCGTTGAAAAAATACTAGTTGTTTAATACTGAGTAGAACATATTCAATGTCAGATAAAAAATTTTTGTCAAATGGAAGGTGAATACAAAACTGAAGAGATTTCGAATATTAATTTAAGTTCAAAAATATCTGTCACGAATAATTTAGATGAGAATAATGGGGATAGTGTAAATGAAAGTTTGAACGCACTTATTAATCTTTTTCTTGATTCTTATCAAGAAGATAAAGACGCATCAATACGGGAAATATATAAGTACATGAAACAAAACATTTATGAGCCACCTGATTTTAGTACTGAAATCTCCAATTTCTCAATAATTTTATTTGATATCATTTCCAAATCTACAGTGCCTAAAAGGACCAACATGGCATTGTACATGCTAAATTGTATATGTTCGAATGGATCATTCATAGATCATCTAAATAACGAAATTATAGAACCAGCAATAACTAAGATTTTTTCAGTTAACGGAAATTATAGACTAGTTACGGATTTAATTTTTAAGTTCATAGATCATGGAGCATTTACAAATATTTTCGAGGCGATTGGTTATCAACATTTGATTTCAAAATTCGCTGAAAGGCCAAATGATGAAAAAATGGCACCTTACTGTCTTTATGGACTTTCTCAAATTTCTCACTATAATAAATTTCCAGAATTTCAAGAAGAATTTTTCAATTGTATTTCAATTACAAATTTCTTCTCAACAGATTGCCTTCAATATATAATTTCTATTCTAACTGATTTTGCTGAATCAATCGATTTCAAACAAGATTTATTTATAGATTTAGTTCTTGATGCCCCTGATGCCAAAAATGTACTGATAAAAGCATTAAAAGATGAATACATAAAAATTTACCGTTTGCCGGACCTTTTTGTTCGACTAATTCAAAAAGAAAACACATTTAGAGATAAATTACCATTAGATTTCTATAAAGATATCGTGTTTTCAAACGAAGACTTGTCCGATAATATCATAGAAAATCTTGGTACTATCTTACACTTAGTTTTCTTAGCTGATGAAATGAACAAAGAACGTGCTGAGGTTATTCATGAATTTATTAGAAAATACTTTGATGTTGTATCAATAGAAGTTAAGGAAGTATTTTCAATGATTTGTATTGATATTTTAACTATTATTGCAAATGATCAAATTCCAACTGATCTTTTCAAGGAATGCATTGATGATATATATAATGGGTATCAAATTAAATGTGTTTCTCTAGAATTCATCTGTTATCATATGTGTTCGTTGATTGAAAAGTTAAAAACAACCGGGCAGATTGATAATTTAGGTATCCTTATTAACTCTGAATTATGTCAAGACATTATTGATGCAGCAGAAGAAATTCCTGAAGATCAAAGCAGGAAATCAATTCAATCATACATACAAATATATGATGAAGTTAACAATGAAGTTAATAATGAATAATTTTGTTTTTTATATAAACTCTGTTTATTATGCATTCATTTTTCGAATATTTTTCAAGAAATTTCTTTTATTTTGATCTCTATGCATAATTGCACATAAGTTAGTGTTATATGATTGCAGTTATTGCATTTCGAATAATTTGTATATGTTTATTATTGTTTTGTGTCCAAATCATCACGAATTTTCATTCAGGTTAAAATACTAACTATTTATTAACAAAATGGATAGATTTACTCTAAATTTTGTGAAGTAAGCTTACTAATTTTGTAATATCAAATTTTTCGTGAATTATTTTCTTATATATCGAAACATCAACTTCAGGAACATTAGGAAGTTGAAATGTTCTCCATTCAAACATTTTTTGACCTGATCCATTGCCTTGAGCATCATCAAACACAGTAGGATACCTAGGAATCTGACGGCTTTCGGGATTTTCATTAAACGGATCAATATATATGTTTTTAAGTTCCATGTGAATGTTTGTTAAGTTTACTGGAATTGCAGGAGGTATTGATGTAAAAGAAGCAAAATTAAAAGTGGAAACTGATTTAAAATCATTGATATTTAATGCTCTCGGCATATTCAAATAAGAAGAAATTAGGCCAGCTTTCGGTTCAAAGACTTCATTTTGACAATTTATATTATCTTGTTTATTATGCTTCATAATATCATTAATCTCATTTATTTCAGAGTCTGATGTGTCAGAATAGTAATATCCTCCAAATGAATCGGAATCACCACTATCTGAGCGTCTCATCAAGGATCTTTTATGACAAATTTCATCTTTCAATTCCAACTCAAAATTAATGGTGTAACATTCATTGAACTATCGAATTGTAGTATGTTCATGCACGGTTCATTAAAATGAATTGTCATTCATTATTCCAATATTGCAATTCTAATATTAACATATGTGTTTCTCACCTTTTTGAAATGGTTTTATCAGGTTCCAATTGGATGAGGCCAAATTCAAGTCTGAAAAAATAAAAATAAATATTAAATGAATTCATGATTGATTCTTAAAAAACGATAATATATACATTATGAAAATGTTAAACATAATAAGTTTATTCCAAAAGATGATATTGATAAGATCATCTTTAGAAAAACATGCATTCCTGCAAGATTTAATGAGAATTAGTTCAAATACTGATATGATTGGTAGTATTGTTTAGTTAAAATAAGAATTCAAGAATTTTTAGTGAACGTTTTGAATTTCAAATTGGGAGGAGAAAATGAACGGAAGTTTTGTCGAAATAGATGATCCAGCAGACACTTATGTTCCAAAAGAGTCTGAAATTGAAGAATTCGCAAAATGGCTTGGTGCACAGCTCCCTCGTGATAAATCTTTATTATGGATTGCCAAAGAAGCATTGACAGCAAAGATTCCACCTCCATGGAAATACTACCAGAGGAAAGATGGTACTGGTGAGCCATTTTATTTCAACCCATTAACAGGAGAATCATTATGGGATCATCCGTTAGATAAGCAATACAAGCAACTATTTCAACAAGAACAAAAGAAATTACTAGCAAGCATGAATCCTCCATCTGCCTTAAAGCAATCTCCTAATGATACAAAACCAAATTCCGAAAACACCAAGCCAAGCAATATCGATGAAATAGATTTACCAAAAGCTCAAATCTCACCTCCAAAAATCAAAGAAAAACTACAACAGCAAGAAAAAGAAATTGAACCACAAATTAGCAAAGGAAAACTACGAGAAGTCTTTCATGATGAAATAGAAGAAATGATAAGCAATCACGAGGATGAAATCCAACAATTGAAAGAAGATTTCCAGACTAAATATGAAATAATGAGAAATAGACTTCAAGCCGAATATGATGATAGAATTAAGCAAGAAAAAGCCAAATATGATGCAGAAATAGAAAAAATACAGAACCTGAATAAGAGCGAATTAACATCATTACAACAGCAGCAAATTGCAGGTAAAAAAGAATCGTTTAAAGTTCAAATGGAAACACTTGAAAAGAACAATGAATTGGAACTGGAAAAAAAGAAACTAGAGCTTCAAACAAAATTAACTCAACTCGAAACAGAAAATATGACTCAAATTGCACAAATGAAAATCAATCAACAACAAGAAATAACCGAAATACTTACATCACATCAAACTCAACTTTCAAAGCTCAAATCAAAACTATCTCGTGAAGTTGAAATAATAAGAAGGAAGGCAAGAGCTAAAATGGATGCAATACGTGATTCGAAAGAAATACAATTCCTTCAGGAAGAAATGGAAATGAAGAAGAAGGAACTGATTGAAAAGAATGAACTAGAAATTAAACGTATGACTAAAAAGCATGAAGCCAATAAAAAACTTCTTCAAGAGAAATTCAATGGTGAAATTGTTGATATGCAAAGTTACCAGCAGATGTCTCCATTTAAGGACGACAACATAATTAAGCAAATCAAATCGGATTTAGAAGACGATAAGAACTTAAGGATGGCACTAGATACAAAGAAAGCTAAAATACTAAATCAATTCAAAGCTGAGATTGATGAATTGAAGGAAAAGCATGAAGATGAAATCAAACAGCTCAACTCTCAGCATTTGAAGTTAACAGAATCAATTAAGAATGAAATTGCAGAGTTAAAGCGTGAAGCTGATCAAGAAAAAATAGAATTGAAAGAAAAGCGAAAGAATGAAATTCAAAAAATCAAAGATGAATGTGATATGCAAATAATGCAACTCAGAGAAGAATTACTCACAAGAAAGCAAATTGAAAAAACGCAATTTTCTCAAGATATGCAACTAATGTTAACAATGCTTGAAAATGAAAAGATGCGAGCTGAGCAACAAAAGAGAGCTGAAATTGAAGAGATTAAACGAAGAGTTGTTACGTATCAGCCAGAGAAAATCTTTGTGAAGGAAGAAAAGCGTGTAATACCATTTCTTTCTATCGCATATCAAAACGAAATCGATATCATGCCTAAGTCTGAGATTAAATATCAGATTCCTTTAAGATTTACGTTTTCATCTCAAAAAGTATTCAGTCGTAATCAAAATGCTCAGAAACCTCTCTTAGATCAGTCCACTTCTCCATCCTCTAAAAATGAAAGAAAAAGTCCAGATAAATCAAATAACACAGAAAATACGAGAAAATCATCATATATTGAGTCTTATGATAAACCCGAAACATTTTCTTATGTTAAGAATAATCGCATATCAAAGCAAAGGAAAACTCTATCAAAGATTGAAGATCAATTTAATTCTGAATTTTCTACACTTGATCAATCATCAAATGCATTCAAACTTGAAACAGATAATTTGACGTCTTCATTCCAAAACTTAATTAATAGTCAAACAAGGGAAATGACATCATTATCTTCTGAATTCAATAAAACAGCTCAAAAAATTCAAATAACAATGACAAATGCTTTGTCTTCTCTTGAAAATCAATTTTCTATACTGAATAACAAGCAGCCTATCCAAATTATGCAGCCTGCTCCGCCTCAAATTCCTATTGAAGACAGTGAATCTTTTTCAAGATCTTCATTTATTATTCCTGCAAGTTCAAAGCCTAAAAATAATGGGCGATCTTCTAGGAATAGAAAAACGCCAAGAAGGGAGTATGATGATGACGATATCTCGACTGAAGCATCGGATTTATCTTTTGTAGTAGGTCATAATTCTGCCAAGTTGCTAAGAATGTTTCGACAGCAAAGAAAGCAGAGAGCTGTTCAAAGGATTAAGTAAATTTTTTTGTTATGTATTAAATTATGGATTTCGGATTGTTTATTATGTTAAATTTTTCTTACATGTTTATTTTTCCCCTAATTTTCCATACGAGTGAAGGAGCGTGACATAAAAACCATGAGTTTTTCACAAAAAAAAAACGACAAAATGGGAATTCTCTTGTCATGCTGCCAAGGAAGAAGTCAATACCAGCCATTAGATGAAGGAGAAGATCAGATTGCCGCTATTGAGCGTACCAAGCTTCAAGCGCTTGAAGATGATGACAATGAGCTCCTTAAAGATCCAACAATTCAAGAAGTACTCCAAGATTCTGGATCTGATCAAGAGCAAATGAATGATGAAGACGTTGCAAAATACATTCAAGGTCTTGGTGCCTAATTTTCACCTCTATCTTTTTTTGTTTATAAATTTGTCTATTCAAAAACAATAACAAGACTACTATTAACAAAAATAATACACAAAATCAATTTTACACAGAAATATAATAAGGTCAAATCGAAATATGATATTCTCCGATTTGAGTAAGATTTTTGCTACATTTTACGGCATCCTATAAGCTGATGTCAATAAATTCTAATGTAAACATTTATTATAGATATGTTCTTATACTTTGTGATGATATGATTTCAAAAATGAATTCCTTGAAATAAACTTTGCATGAAGAGATGAGGATTAGATTATGTCTTCCTCAAGATAGAATATCATACTAACTAATGCTCTGAAACTCATTTCAATAATCAAATACGAACCTCAATCTGAAAATTTAAAACGAAAATTTCAATAAAAATGGCAGAAGAAGTTCTTCGTTTTGTTGTGGATCATCTTCTTAAGCCTATTGGAGTAGAACTATCCGTAAATGATATGTTAGAGGCTGCTGAATCAAATGATGATGTTGTTACATCATTGAAAACTGCATTATATCAATTTATTGCGTCAATAATCTTTGCTAATAAAACTGCTGCGAGAAATTGGGTCAAAAAGGCAGATATTAATCAAGCTACTGATATTTTAAGGCTTATGGGCTTCGATCCATTCTTATTTAATTTAGATGTTCATTCTCAGCATGTATTATTGACAATATGCTGGTTAATATGGCGCATGGATCTCTTTAAAACACTCTACGACCCTTATATCCCTGAAGCTGATATTCCATATCTCCCTCCTTACGGGGAATTCCTCACTGACCCAACAATACAATCACCAAGATCTCTTAAAAAGCCACCAACAGATCATGACTCTCTTACAAGGCGAATTTCAAGATTATACTCGAAAATTTCATCCGAATTACACGAGCTTAGTGATTTAGAAATGCAACGTGAGACATTTAACTGGGGAATACGCACATTAGATCAAGAATCATCTCTGTACTCTCTAAGTTTGAAAGCGAATATTCCATTACTTACAGCTCATACAGAAGCTCTCAATAGAGCAATTAATAACTCATCTAAGATCGAGCAAATATTTGTAATGGAAAAGCAATTCTGGGATTGGGTTACTCCTCTTGCAAATAGACCTGGCTACGATCCTGATGGCTTTGATGAAATGAGAGCAACTCCAATTGATTGGTATCCAGTTCTTGATCAAGCTCCTTACACTCGTCATAACTCAAAAGTTGACGAATTAAGTCAATTAATGCAAGAATGCAAAACAAAGCTTAATAACGCAAAATTTGCATTCGGAGACTTATCAAGAGATAGAACTATGGGTGGTGGATACTCATATGATATCATTAGAAGGGAAATTGATGAAAAAATGGAAAAGATTTTGAGATATGAGCCAATGACGAAAACCTCAACCGAAGAAAGTACTACAGAAAGCTTAATACCAAATATGCCATTCAAAGATTTCTCAGATACAGAACTTACTCGTATAATTAGTCAATCAGAAGATAAATGCGATGAAATTGCAGCTACAAACTGCCAAATGATATCAGACTTTGCAGCCAAGATATGTGAAGAGATGAACTTAGAAATGCATGGCTGGGAATGCGAGAAATTCACAAGAAAAAGAGTTCTTGATGATGATTTAGATATAGAAAGACCAGCGGAAAAAATTGCATTGAGAGCTCCTAAACAGACAAAGGCAACTAAGATGATGAAAGCATCAAGGCCGCCACTGCTTGGAGATCTTCCTAAGCAATCAGGTTCTCATTCTTCTGCAAAGAAACTTGAATCTGCAATTCCAAAACCGGCTTCGAAGAAAGCGGCTGCATCAAAGTTGGCTGCACCTAAGAAGGCTGTTCAGAGAAAGCCAAGAGCAGAATGGAATTATTAAGCAAATAATCTTTTATATTAGTGTTTTTTAATAAATTTCTTTTTGTTTTTCTTTTGATACCCTTAATAATTTTTCATATACTAATGTTTCCTGTGCATATATATAATAAACAAACAACAATTTAAACGTTTAATTCAAATTTCAAATTACCATGTGAAATGATATCAATCCTCTTAAGATCCTACTGAAAAAGCATGTAATGAAATACAAAATAATTTATATTACAAACAAAAAAAAAAATAATATAAAGCACTTAATTAGAATAAAAGATCGCAAGGTAGCTTGTTCTGAGTTACTTCAAGAGTAGTTCCTTTGGATTTTGAAACATCAACTTCAGAAATGGGTTCACTAATAGAATCTTTAGTGTCTTTAACACACTGGACCATTAAATAGTCTACCCATTGAGGGAATACTATGATTGGTTGTTCACCATTTGTAGGGTCAAAAGACGTCAAAGTGACTTCTAAAGTTGGTGAAACATTAATAATTGCAGCTTTGTTATTGCGACCACAGTAGTTTGATGTACTAAAAACTGTGATGCATGCATCTGTTTTCTTATAAGGGAAATCATAACCATGAGGACTAAATTCATGGGCGCGTAAAACAAGTTCCACACCTGTTTTACGTAGGAAAGCATTAAGTGCTTTTTGATTGAAATACTTTCCGGATCTCCTTTTACTTGGAGTGTATTTTTCATCTTGATCCTTGGGATCGCTCCAGACAAAATCTAGAAACATTGATGGTCGATCTAGGTCTCCTGGCTTATCAAGAGACTTAAGATGTTTAAACGACTTGAATGAGGGACTTAAACCTCCATGAACACAAAAAATTTTCTTTTGGATTAAACATGCAAGAGGTAATAGCTTAAAGACTTTATGAAATTCATGGAACATCTTTAAGTTGTATTTTGATTCAATCTCATCCTTGAATCCATAATATGATGACATCGATACAATTTCATGATTTCCTCTGAGCATATAAACATGAGATGGGAATTTGATCTTGAGGCAGAATAAGATTAGTAAAACTTCGATTGAATAATCACCTCTATCAATGTAATCACCAAGAAAGAGATATTTTTGTTCAGGAGGATATCCTACCTTCTGAAATATACGGACTAAGTCATTGACATTGCCATGTAAATCTCCAACAACGTGTAATTTTGCTGGTATCTCAAGTAGAATTGATTCTTCTTGAAAGATTTTACTAACTTCGTTTAAAATAAACTGTATTTCGGTCTCTGAAACATAGTTCTGTATCTTTTCATCCTTGTTAACGCGTGAAAGAAGTGTGTTATAAAATATAGAATCCACAGAAGTTGATTCCGTTTTCATTAAACGTACGTTTGATTTCAAATATTTACAACTTTATTCAAAATAATTTTTATTCATCATCGTCTAAATCAAGAGGAGAACTGCTCACTTCCCTGGGAATAACCATTACGAATGTATGTGGAATGTATTTTTTGTTTCAATAAGCAATTTCTTGCGTAGGATTCTTAAGTTGCAGATCAAAATTCAAGAAATGATCTTGTTAATATTGGCAATCGATCTAATGGTTGTTGCATCTATGAAACAAATATATCTCACTGAGTAATCCTCAAGAAAAATAAAATTGAAAGAATTAAATTAGAAGAGTTTAGTGTATGTTAAAAGCCCTCTTAAATGGTCCTGCTTTTCGACCATCTTTGATTGGGAAAACTATATAATCAAAGTATTTTCCTAATCCTTCATCAATAAGAACTGTCTTAAAGTAATTAGCAACATCTGCTGGATTGTTCTTGAAAACTCCACATCCGAATGCTCCTAAAACTAATCCTTTCATATTATTTTCGATTGCGACCATTACAATCTTCCTTATTCTGTTGAGCATTGCTGTATGAGTTTCAGCTTCAGCACCTTTAGTAAGATTGCATGCAGGAGCAGTAATGAAAGATAAATTATAGGAATTTTCAAGTAAAGTATAGTCAGATTGGCGCCAAACTGGACAATCAGGAGTAAATATCATATAATCACTATATGATAACGACTTGCTCTGTCTATTGTATTCATACATTTCTGGATGTTTGATTTGAGACCAATACAAAGCTGAGCTGCGACATAAGTTCTCTTCTTGAGCTTCATTAGGTCCAGCAAAGCCGCCTCCTGGGTTTCGAGCTGATGCGAAATTTAATGCACAAGTTTTGATTCCTTTGTCAACGAGTTCCTTTGATGCTTCGAGGGTCAAAGAATCTATAACATCAATGACTGTATTTTCGCTTGTTTTCGCATTTTCAAGGCTGAATTTGTATGATAAATTGTAAAGTTTTGAATTTTCAATCGAAAACTTGATTTGATCTGAAACATCGATTTTTTGTCCGACACTGTTGATATAGAAGCCCTTTTTAACTATGCCTATTGTCTCTTTAGCTGCTTGATGCTTAACTGGAGGTAGTTCTGTAACTGGTCTCATGTATCAAGCTATCAAATAAATGAAGAGAAAATAAAAAAAAAGTTGATGGAGAACAAAATTTCAATTCAGATCATTTGATCAAAATTTTGGGAGACAAATTATATTCTCAATATAAAGCTGGTTAATGGATTTAATTTCATTAGATAAGATCATATTCAAAGTAAATGTCAGTATTTCTTTAATATTTCAGGTCATGTGGTATGTAGAGACGCCCTATAACAATATTTTGATGTATTATTCGGAGCTATTTAATAGAAAAAACGAAATAAAAGATATATAGCTTAAATCTTGCAAAGTAATGAAAATAATTAGCCGAAAAATATAAAAGGTGTTTAATTCTGATTATGATTGCACTGATAGCTTTTCTGGATTTTAGTAATAGACGAATAATTTTCGATTTTGGAGTTTATTGATATGCTTAAGACGAAGGTATCACTAAAACCTGTTTGTGTTTATATAGTTTTTGAGACGATGTCAATTCTGGTAACATCTTTAGATGAAGATCGAATTCATTGAGGTAATTCTTGTGTATTAGATCTAAATTGACCGAATTTATTAAAAACTTGCTGTGTGAAATGCATTTTTGAGTACAATTAAGGGAATGTGTCGAAAATGGATGGGATATTGAAAAGCCAAGAACAAAAATGATTACACTTATAAAGGAATTGAAAGTTTATATATCACTTATTTGCAAGTGTATAGTTAATTTTGCTTGCTTATCCCTATTTTTTGGGATATTCTTCAAAATTATTAGAAAACTAATTTGGAGCAATAATATAAATGGACTACCATAGTTAAGCCAGAATTTAGTTAAATTAAAGTTAGCAGATTTCCAAAAAAAATTCGAAATCGTGAATTTAAAATCCAAAATTGTTAAAAAATTCTTCAAATTTCGGATTTTGAAAAAAATTTGGAAAAATCAAATACTATACATTGATTTATTTTTATGGATCATATTGAATTTATGCTACAAAATACATTTTAATTAGATTATTTCAATAATAAAATTTATTTTGTATTTAATTATTGAAAATATTTATCTAGCCAAATTTGTATTCCTAATTCTATTAAAATCGATGCTTTTACATAGGAAAAGTGACAGTTTATTCAATCAATACAATAAAACAATAACAACGATCTTTTATCAAATTTTGAACATTGTACTGTAAATCATTCATCTATATGAAGTCCATGAACAATTTCCAAACGGGGCAGAAAATCAAGGAATTTAAAAACGTTTATTGAAAGCTTCTCTCAAAAGAAAAATTTATAACAATCTGATTTAAATGAATGATTACGAACAAGTGAAAACCCTTGGCGAAGGAGGTTACGGCAAGGCTATACTTGTAAGGCGCAAGAAAGACAATCAGATGTTCGTTATAAAGAGCGTAAAATTGAAAGGCTTAAAAGAAGAAGAGAAAAAGGAAGCTTTATACGAAGTTCAAGTCTTATCTTATCTCAGGCACCCAAATATTATCACATATATCGACAGTTTTCAAGAGAAAGAGGTATTGCACATCGTTATGGAATACGCTGATGCAGGAGATCTCGGCACCAAAGTTCAAAAACAAGGGAGAACTCTATTTTCCGAGGACTATATTCTAAATATATTCACGCAAATTGCATTAGCAATCAAATACATGCATGATCGAAAAATTTTACACCGCGATCTGAAATTGCAGAATATATTCCTTATGAAGTCAGGAATTGCAAAACTTGGCGACTTTGGCATCGCTAAAGCACTCGACAAAACGAATCAGTTCTTAAAAACACAGATTGGAACTCCATATTACCTTTCGCCTGAAATTTGCGAGGGTAAAAACTATAATACTAAGACAGATATATGGTCATTAGGCTGTATCCTTTACGAAATGTGCACTCTTCGCCATGCATTTGAAGGAAGAAATATAAATAACTTACTTGTCAATATTATTCGCGGGCAATTTACACCAATAAGCAACCAATACAGCCAGGATCTCCGCAATCTCGTATCTTCGATGCTTTCAAAAGATCCAAATAATCGTCCTTCCGCAAACCAGATTTTAACATTACCATTCATCAAAGCTCGTATTACATCCTTCCTTTCCGAAGTTGAAATGCGAAGGGAAATGGACCATACAGTTTTCCACGGACAAGGCGCTTTTCAAGCTCCTGCAGTTCCTGAACCAATTAACAATACACCAGAATACGTGAAGTCTCCACCCCCTCAGAAACCTGAAATTCTGGTTCCTCAGATCCAAAAACAGTCAACTGCTCGAAGAGTTTTACCAAATTCGAATCTCGACAAACCAGTTACTCCTCCTAAGCCAGCAATGAGTGATTCTGCAAGAATGAGGTTCCATGAAGAGGAAGGCAGGAGAATGGTTGAAAGAGAAAGAAGAATGAGGATGAAATACGAAATGATGAGGGAAGGAAACAGGCGTCCGAACGATGATGCCAACAGAATTCAGCAAGAAATGATAGCAGCAGAGAAGCTCAGACAAGAACAAGAGCAAAGATTGCGTGCAAATCAATATCGACCAAGTCCAGGTTTATTAAACGACCCAGAGGACTTAAGGAAGCAAGAATTAATACGAAAGAACGAATTGCAAAGACAACAAGACATGATTCGTCAGCAAGAATATCTAAAACAGCAAGAATTACAAAGACAACAAGAAATACAAAGACAGCAAGAACTTCAAAGACAACAGGAAATACAAAGGCAGCAGGAACTTCAACGACAACAAGAATATCAGCGCCAACAAGAGTTACAACGTCAACAAGAAATATATCGACAACAAGAACTCCTCAAACAACAAGATTTACGACAGAAAGAATTACAGAGGCAGCAGGAGTTGCAGCGTCAGCAAGAATTAATTCGCCAACAAGAGTACATGAAACAACAGGAAATCGAAAGAATCAAAATCCTACAGCAACAAGAGAAAGAGAAGCAAAAACTACTAGAACAACAAGAGATGAAGCGTCGTGCGGAGGAAGAAAGGAGATTGATGATGGAAGAAGAAAGAAGACGCCAAATGATTCAGCAACAAAACGAATTAAAGAGAAGACAAGAAGAAGAAAAGCGTCTGGAAGAAGAGAGAAGACGTCGCGAGGAAGAAAGAAGAATGCAATTGGAAAGACAAAGATTAGAAATGCAAAGAGAAAGGGAAGAAAAGGAAAGAAGACGAATGGAAGTCGAAAGAGCAAGGCAGGCTGAATATGAAAGGCAAATGCAGCTAAAGAGAGAAGAAGAAATCAGAAGAGCTGAAGAAAGAAACAGATATGAGGCCGAACTCGAAGCACAAAAGAGAGCAGCTCGACAGGAATTCGAGGAAAGAGAAAGGATGAAGAGAGAACAGCTAGAAAGAGCTAGAAAGCAAGCAGAAGAGAAATGGCTGGAAGCAGCTGAAAATGCTAAGAAAGAAAAACGAATGAGGAACGAACAGAAGAGAAGAATGGGCCAACAGAAACCATTATCTCCATTACAATCTCCTAGACAACCTCCACATGTCTTGATTCAAGAACCACCTTCTCCGAAATCATATAGAAACAATCCAAGAATGTATGATTATAAGCAGAGATGGTCACAAATTGATAACCAGGCTGCTCAGTTACAAAGAGATATCGGAAACAGAAGATTACAAGAAATTTCAATGTCTTATAACAATGTTAGGAACTATCAACCTCCTCAAGTGAATAGACCAGTCTACCAGATGTATTCTGATGCTGATATTGTTGATTCTCTGAAGGCCGGATTAAATATCGATCCAAATCAGGCCCAAGGAGGATTTGAAGAAAGAGTTCCTATATATTGCAATGGACAGGAACTTAATTTGCCTGTTGCAAACGATGTACAGTCGATGATGTCAAGAGCTGAAGCTATTCGCGATAGATTAGTTAGACATATTGGTCAGGATAAGATGGTTGCACTTAGAAACCAAATGCTTGGAATAGGGGCACAAGGCCAACCGATAAAAGTTGATCCAATGACTAATAATTTAATGATGCAATTATTATATTTAGATGGCTCAATAGAAAGCGGTGTATAATTTTCTATTTTATTTTGTTTGTATTTTAAATACGAAATATTGTTTATATTATGATAAATAATAGTTTTTATTACTATTTTTAACAATTAACCCAATTGTATCCAGATTATCTTGCTTTGATTTATATATTCACTTTCCCTCATGTTAAATAAATAGTTTTTAAATCCTGATCACTATTTACAATACTGTTATATGGTTATTATAATTTTTTCGGTCTATATGTCATTTTCTTGTCTCAGAATAATATACTATATATACTTATTGGTATATAGTAGCTATCTGAGTAATTCCAGGTAATAAATTATGAAAAACAATATTGACCGATAACTCATAGAGATTTATAAATGATAGTTTAGCAGCCATTATTTATGCTTATTCTAATGATATCAAGGCCAGATCTCCAAATTGGTGTTTTTATCTTCAAATTGGACGATCTCAAAGAAATAGTTATACGTTATACTTTCAATGCTCATCGCTGTAACACATAATCACCAGTCGAAACATGCGTAGGATTGAAAAATGAATCAAATGAAAATACAGTTTCAATAGAAGCGAAAAAACCTAAATTCCGAGATGGGAAATTTTAATCTTTATCCTCTTTAAGAGTTTTTTTAATCACTTTTGAATGGATCAAAAAATTGAAACAAAAATTTCTAAAACGTATATTCTCATTGAATTTAAGAAACAATAGGGATTTTATTTTACATAATCATATAAAATACCATAAATTTTCCTTATATTTTTTTCTGAACACTTGTAAAATTTACAAAATATTTTCGTAATTCATGAAGCAAAAATATACGCTTATAGGTAATTTACACGAAAATCCAGACTAGATTCTTCTCAATCCTCTTTTTAGTATTTTGAGAGATTAGATTTGACAATTTTTTCTTTCCTTTATTTTTACACAAAAAAGTATTTTTTTAACAGGTTAGAATATGGCATCCATTGAAGAGCTTTTAAACAGAAAAGTCCCATTTGCAACATATCCTAAAGAAGAACCAAGGGAATTACCACCACCAATACCTACTCCTAAGCAAGATACTTCCGTCACATTTGATGATCAATCAAATACTAATACAAAATCAGCCCCGTATACATTGTCTGATGATTTATCAATATTTAACGTAATTGTGAAATATTATGGAGACGGGTTCCATGGAAAAATCCCATGGTCATTCTGGCAGACTTACAAACGCGTCTCTGGCTCAACAAGAAGTAATTCAAGTCTATATCACCACTGGAATGGCTCAATGAAGAAAAAATATGAGTCCTTCATAACTACAGGCAGACTTTCAGAGTGCATTGCATGGTTAGAAACAGCAATTCAGGCTGAAAGAGCACCAATGCCACCAATAGGCGATATGCTACCTCATACTGGAATGCCTCTTATGCATATGAGATCCCAGCCAGCCGTTCCATTAGTTCCTTTAGTACCAACAGTGGTTCAAATTGAACATCCATCACCTTTAATTAGGAATGCATCCTTTGCCGCACCGTTTCAATTTTATCAAATGTAATTTGTAGCATATATATTATTCTTATATAGACTTTAATATTAGTACTCAATTGTAAAACAAAAAACTTTGTAAGCTTATTGTATTTTATAAATTTTTATTAATTTTTATATTATTCTAATTTTTAGATTTACGGATGAAGCATTGAGAAATATTCATAAGGTCAATTCATCCAGTAAGCTGCGAAAGAAGAAAAAGCTCTTTAATATTGTTTTTATATCTTGCAATCAAATTGGACAATTCTAGAGATCGATTTTCGTTTCTACAGTATAAAACATATTATTTGCTACTACAAAATTTTAGAAGAATAAAATCGCGTTCAATAGTTCAATAAAAGGGTGAGCCTCATATTCATGAAAACCCAAATCAATATGGTTATTATATAATCCAGATAATATCAAGATTTAATCGCTTAGCAATGGCGGATTCATCAAAGTTGTTTTTCAAAAGGCAAAATCTTTCAATTTTTTTGGCATTTGTCAATAAAATAATAATATGATACATCATACATTATAAAACTTTTGTGAAATCATGAAAAAATTGATATGAATCTGACGCTCATTACTGTCAGATTCCTTTAAGGTTATTTGACAGTGTGTTTTTCTTTTTGGGAATAACAATTTCAATAAATACGATGCGATTTGGTGAATATGAATCGCAATGTAAAAGATGTCCGATTATTGAAAAATACACCATCTCCATCCCTGATATTGAAGCTGTTAGTAAACTAAAGATCTGAAATTTTACATTACTTTTGATTGTACGTCAAAGAGATTTACAAACCTAAAATTAGTATATGAAATCTGTAACAGACGAAATTATTATAATAAAAAAGAAAATATTTTTTGGGAGGTTTTTACAACGTCGCTATCCTCTCAATTTTTAGTTAATTTAAATAATATTATCAGTATTACTATTCGATGTAGAATATCAATAAATTAAGTGATAAAACGTATTCGTCAGAAAATGTTTTCGTCGTATTTAGATCTGAATAAATATTTTAATCGATATCGTCATTAAATAGGCGAGCCTAACATGTATAATGCATGAAATCAATTTTTGTTAAATAGGATCTGTCGCAATGTGGTCTTTTGACATAAGAAGTAGAAATATTAGATTGAGAATAGGTTTGTATAATAAATTTACATAATTACCTAGAATGCGAAGCTTTTTTATTTTTTGTATTTGCGTAACCACTTAATTTTGAAAATACACAGCAGAATACTAATTGAATGGATATTACATACTGTCCTAGCTTAGAAATTCTTTCCAAAATTAAGTTTCAAGAACTTCAAAACAAAATTCAAAGATTTTTCAGAGAAAAATAGAATTGGAATGCATATAATATCTCTATATGTAACATGTGCAGAAAAAAATTGGTCATACAAACACGTAAAACTGTTGTTGATATTTAAATTAAGGGTCCACTGTAAAAATTGAAAGTCTCTCAAAATTGAGAGGCGATTTGCAAATAATCATTATCGTCTTTTTTCGAAAATCCACTTTTCCTAGTGTTCTGATTAATATTTTGTGAATGGAATAATGAAGTATATGTTTTTGTAAGATGGTAATATATTCTATCACTTCAAATCGGATAAAAATTGCAAAATCGGCGAGTTTTATAAGAACATGATTTTTTTGAATTTTTTCGCTTTTGGATGCGTGTTTTGAAAAATAGATATTTTCGAATTTTGATTTTATCTTAAGTATAAGTTTTATATTAGGAATTTTTTTGACCTATTTCCAATCATTAATTCCGATGTTTTTTTAGGAATTTATTTGAGAAGAAATTAGGAATTTCGCTTTTATGCTATTACAAACTAATATTATGATGCATGTAGTTTATATTCATTGAGGCCAATGCCAGGATATCTTGCATTAAAAAAGTAGTAGGATATGATGGGTTTTGTGACTTTTTTTGTAAACGTAAGAATTCATACAATATTGAGCGATTTTGTATCATTTTTTTAACATAAGAAGTAAAAAATGTATGATTCTTACGGTTTTTATTCTTACGTTTTTGAATAAATCAAGATTTAAAAAATTTTCAAAATTGTAAGACATTTACACTCAGCCCATACATAATGAAATAAAAAATAAAAAAAATTTTTAAAAATAAACCATTAAAAAAATTAAAGTTATTTTTAAAATAATTTATTTTTTTATTCTTACATAAATGACCCAACAAGTAAAACCAGATAAAATAGATTATCGAATTTTAGAGGATGGTGTTCCTGTTTATATTCAAAGATTTAAAGGGAAGCAACATTATAGAATTGTTAATCCTGAATACATAAAACATTTATTTAAAAAGGAAGACTGTGAATTATTAAACGTTAATGAATATGAAACCAATAAATCAAAATTGAAATATAAATATATTGGAAGTGATGAAAGATGCAAAGATAAAGATAAAGTTTATACAGTTTCATATAATGAATGGAAAACCAATAAGATAAGAAAACATTTAGGAGATTATGGTAAAAGTTCCGAATTCTTCAAATCTAGTATGTACGAGAGAATAAAATAAATCAGATATAATTATTTTCATGAATAAAAAATAAACTTTAAAAATTCATGTCTTACATTTTTGAATAATTTATTTTTTTAATTCGTAAGAAATGAGTGAATCAAAATTCGTGACTGTGAATCAATTAATGGATAAACTTTCACCAATCTCCCAGGTTAAACAAGTAGATTTTTTTGATGATTGCGTACAAAGTTTATTTTATAAAGGTAAGTTTAATATTAAACCTATTGCTTTTGCATTTGATGGTAAATTAATCGAAAATTCAAAATTTGGGAATTAATTCCGGATATTGAATTTATAACAAATATTAAGGATAAATGGTTTAAACAACAAAACCACCTCACTAAAGTTCTTTGTAGATTAATGATTAAAACTGAGGAAAAAGAATTTAACGGGTTTAAATATCATCCGTGTAAAATTTTAGAACTTGGTAACGAAAAACTTCAGAAAAAATTAAACGATAGACTATCAAAAGATAAAGTTGAAAGAGTAAATAAACTCGCTAAAGGTAATGGTAATGATGAAGAAGAATTTGATGAGTTCAAAATTGAACTTTAAGAAACTAATGATTATTTGAATTTATGAAATCAATTATTTGATTCATTCTTTCTTCAATCTCTTCTATTCTTTTTGTTAAATCATCTATTTTCATTAATGAGGTGATTCTTGATTGAGGAATAGATTTCAAACTAATCACTCCTTTTATTTTTGAAATTTTGAATCCATCAACTTTAAACATTTTATTCAATTTACACGTTGTCAATTCTTCAAATAATTTTTTATTATTAGCATAATAGTCATTAAATTCTTCAACAGATGAAAAAATTTTTATTTCAGTAATTGGTTTAACAACATTTATTTTTTGTTGAACTTTTCACTTTCATTTATTTCTTCCTCCTCTGTTTCATTTATTTTAAAATCGGTTTCATTTATCATTAAATAAAAATTAGAATATAAGTGATGAAATATATTTTTTTAATTAATATTAAATCAGAAATGGCGGCAGGATTCTTTAAAAAATTATGGGATGGAATTAAGAAAGCTGCGGGTTGGGTTCATAAAAAGATTATTAAACCCATTGCAAACTTTTTGGCACCAGTAGCGAAAACGGCAGGAACTATCATAGGTGGAGTATTAGGTACTAAAGCAGGTAATCCAGCGATGGGAGCACAAGCAGGTAACGCAATTGGTGGAATAGCTGAAGGAATACTTAATAAAATAGGAGGTAGATAGTGGAAAAATAAATATGAGATCCTATGGATCATCTCACCGCTTAGCGGCTTAAAATTATTTTTATCTTAGTATCGGTTGTAGTCTTTGATAAACTTTTTCTCCTTTATTTAAAACTTCTCTTATTGGGGCAGCTTTTGGTGTTATTGATTCAGCAACGTCACTAATTGCTTCTTTATTCTTAAATATCCAATTTGCCCCCTTCTTCAATGTTTCCCAAACTTTACTCGCTCCTCTTTTTACTCTATCCCACAGTTTCTTAAATATACCTGCAGCCATAGTTGATTATTTCATTAAAATTAAAAATTCATTTTCATCTTTTAATTTTGATTTTTTATTTATTAATAAATGACGACTAACTATTTGGTGCCAAACACTAAACCGATTAATGGAAATGTGTTTCATTCATTCGAAAAGATAAATGAAATATTCGCAAAGAATGACGGTAGAAGATATTATAGAGAACTTGAAAGTTCATGCTATGACTCTGATGCTCCATATTTTGATGATAAACAAACTCATTTAAGAATTACAAATCCGGCTCATGATGTGAACCAATTAGGTGACACATATATTAAACGTAAAGTTAAAGCAACTCTAGTTTCAAATAAAGCTTTCATATGTGATGCCGCTTTTAAATACATGCGTTTATTCGTTGGTTACAAATCATCAAATCAAAGCTTTAAACAATTAGAAGTAGAAACCGAAAGAGGTGATGCCGGTTATCTTCAGATGGATTGCGCCCGTGAATCTTTCGCATTTGCAACATATAAACCAAAATCAGAAAGGAAAGTTAAAAAGTTTGTTCATTCGTTATATAATAATGTTCAAAAATATGATAACTCAGTATGTGGTAAATATATTGACCCTTCAGAAGTTTTCAAGAAAGCAAATGAAGAAGTTGATGTCACTTTTGATATGATTATTCCGGTAAATGATTTGTTAGCATTTCAGGCGTTCGATGATTATCCTAAATCATTTGGTGATATCATTCTTAAATATTATGTTTTCAGGGATACTTTAGTATTTTGTCAGGTTGACCCGTTAAGAGTTGCTGATTTACAAAATTACGTTTATGAAAAGATAACTGATGAAAATTATGAAAGATTATGAATCATGTTTATAAATATGATCGCAAATTCCAACAAATCGGACTTCCTGCCAAATTAATTACAAGCTTAGCCGCTACATCTGCTGACGCAACAGTTGATGACGTTATTATTTCATGCACAAAGATGGAAGTTTTTAGAGGATAAATGCATTACACCAGGATACGGTTTAATTGAAGAATCAGTTAAAGCAATACCACGTTTATTCAGTAAAGAAGATCCATTCATGATTCCAGCTCAACATATTGACGTTCGTTCACTAAATGGAGGTTGCATCACTCCTGAAGGTATCAGCTCAGATTTCTCATACGCTCTTCATAATGTTACAGATGTTGTGTTAACATTTCCGAAGAATGCAATGCAAAGAACAGTTTTAGAAAATCCAATGCTTCGAGGTCTTCAGGTCACTATAGATTCCAGAAACTTCCCCGATCAAGCGATGACCACAGTGGGCGACATATTCTTTACACGTATGCTTCAAGCTTCTGATTTAGATGGAGTGAATGAATGCACAGAAGAATACGAGGACTCATTAACTAGACCACTGAATGCAGATGATGGCACGCCATTAGCTAGAACATGGAAAGACCAAACTTCATTCTTATGCACTATTCCAGTTCAACGTGATGGAGCGGGTATATTCTTTGATGGATTAGAAACTTTCAACTCACAAGTTACAGTACAAGTGAAAGCTTATCCAATCATTCAGGGTGAAAATGACACTTACTGTTCAAAGGTGACAAATCCTCCTCAGGTTTGGTTTACTAGGACTACATATTGGACATGGACACCGGATGAAGGTTTGAAATATCATCCAACAGGTACACCACCACAGTATAGAAGTTCATATGATGAAATATTGATGAATAGAAATGTTTAAAATTATAAATTTATTTTTGATTAAATGGATTTAAATTCATACACTCCTTATGAAGAATTAGCAGGAGTATATAATACATACATAGATGATATGATTAATGAAGCATTGAGTGATAATAGAAATGCTCTATCTAAGGAAAAATTAATGAAAATTCCATATTCTGAATGTTACTTAAATTCAATCACTGCAGCAATTGGTAAACAAAATAAAGGTAAAACATTAACGATATTAAAACAAATTATCATTATTGCTAACACTTTCCCCTATTCACATGTGTTAATTTATATCAACCGTTCAGGTTCACCTTCAGATGATACATTTGAATCTTTAAAGCATTTAATCAAAATTCCAATTATTTATTTATCACAAGAAGAAGCAGAAGATTATTTAAAAAACTTTTTAATGTATAAAGAATTATATAATACAATCAAGAAGCAAGGATTAGAGGATAAAATTATTGATAAACAACGGGATGAATTATTTGAAACACTTTCTATTTCAAATTTTGATAGAGAATTTTTGCATTCACTCATTTTTCTAGATGATGCAGTGAAATCAAAACTAATAACAAACGAGAAATCATATTTTAATCAGTTATTAACTCAATGTCGACACATTCAGTGTTCATTCTTTATGGCTGTTCAATATTTCAAAGCATTAAGCACAAACATTAAATCAAATCTATCAACACTTTTCATTTTCAGTGGGTTTAGTCGTCAACAGTTGAACGTTATGCTTTATCAAGTGAATTTACCAATGAGCATTAATGAACTTTACACACAATATCAGCAATTAGGTGAACATGGAAAAATAATAGTTGATTTAAATAAAGGAGGTGTTAAATTTGATTATCTTTTTATAATTAATTTTTATTTTTTATTTATAATTAAACATGACAGAAATAGCAAATCTTCTACAGGTTCCATTAAAACAAGGAACAAACAAAAAGGGTGCATATAATAGAACTATGAAAGTTCCTGATGGAATGAAAGAATTAGTTCATATTGTTGCTGGTCTTCAAAAAGATGTTAAACAAATGAGAAACGTTTTAACATTACCAGAAGCTCAAGCATATGCCAAACGTCATGGTCCAAATTGGGAAGCACACGAAGCAGACATTACGGGTCCAAATGGAAAACCTGATGGTATAAATGAAGTTTTCGTTACTGATGGTCAAGGAAATATTAAAGTCATAAATGGTTATAAATTAACTATAACTGATTATCCTAAACGTAAAGCATATAATGAACGTTATCCTATGCAATTTGATGAAAATGGAAAAGCTGTTAAACAATACATTGGAGAAGGTGAAAATGGTCCAATTAATTCATACTGTTATAATCCATATTCGTATTTCAATGAAGAATTAAATGCTATTGAAGAGGGACCGGATGGATTACCACGATATTCTAACCAGTTTGATGGTCAATATGCAATATTAGACCTGAAATTTCAGCTAAGAAATTCTTTAAAGTTGCTTTATTCGATCCAGTTTTCGCAAATGTTAAAGATGAACTTAAACAGCAATTCCAACCAATTATAGTAGCAAGAATTGCATCAGGTGCTTTATCTCAAGCATTCAAAGATTTAATTAAGAAACCATTATATCAGCAACGAGGTTTAACTTATGATTTAGTTAAGGAATCAGATAAAAGAAAATTTGAGAAATCAGATGATTATAAGAATGCAATTAATGAATATATTAGGTCTATTAATTACAATGAACCAGCTAAAAATCAACTTCAAGAACAAATACAGGGAATAATAGATTCAAAACTTCCGGCAAAATAAAAGTTTAAATATATTTTTTTATTCGAATATAAATGAGAAGACGTTTCATTAGTCAAAAGAACACTAACGCAAAAGCAGAGATTACGGTTGGTTATAACGTAAATGATGATAAATCACGAATTATTCAAAATGTTAAAGTTAATGTTAGCCCTGAATTAACAAGGTCAGCAACTCAACCAAATTTATTAACTCGTGACTTACCGAAAAAAGGAGGAGCAAAATAAAGAAGATGGAGACCCAATCATTTTATCTGAACCCGGTAAAGAACCTGTTGAAATTCCCACTTATCCAACATACCCCCCACCTCTTTCATCAAACATCGAGAACCCATATAAAATAGACATTAATTCTGAATTAATGAAAATTTACCGTGATATAAAATTAATAATTATGATTCAATAATAAAATTTAATTGAACAATCCGGTTTAATTATTTTACCTTATGAATCATTAATTCACATTATCGCCATTCTTTGTGATGTTCAAGATTCAGACGTTAAGATTCAATTTTTCATAGATGATGAGGTTTCATGCTGCGGAACAGTTGCAAAAATAAATCCTATAAAGGATATTAGCACAATTAAGATATCAAAGAACGGAACAACAACTGAACTTCATTTAACATATAATGATATTTATAATAAAATAGTTGATGAATATAAAATATCACTTGAAAAATTCTTTGTAAGGCTATTTAATATTCAAGCATTAACATTATCGAATAATAATCCTTTGAATCATAATCAATAATAATTGACCTTTCACCAGTTTCTATCGTTTGTTTTATTTCTTTTTGTTTCCCCACTATCCGGATCGGTCATTGTAATTGTTTTTATATAGTATCAGCTTTATCTTTAACTTCAATCTTTTTTCCATCGGGATATTTAAACCAAAATTCCAAAAATTCGATATTGTCAATCTGTTCATATTTTAATCTATCAATTACATTTTTAATACCATCTGAAAAATCTTATGAAATGGTCATTATATGGGTTTGATTGAACTAAATTTGAATGAAGTGAAATATAACCTGTTGATGAATATGACATTGACTCATATTTTCTGAAAACACTAAAAATTTATAACATGAATGAAATTTCTTATCGTTGAATTTATGAATTCTTGAGGTAATCTTATTCTAGTTTTTATTTATCACTGGAAATAACGCTTTACCATATTTTTAATCTAAAAAAATGTCAATTATCAATATTATTTCGAATAATAACTGTGAATTAAATTTAAACAGTTAGCGGAATTTATAATGTTACTCTCGTTTCTTTGAGTGGTAAATTTAATCCCATTCTTTTAGACCCTTCAGATTATATATCATTTATTAAAGATGACCATGAGCCGCATAGCGGCGGTCGTAGACCTTGAAAAAACGTATTGATATGTATATAAATAATGTGATAGCGAAATGGATATTAACATTATTTTAAGTTATTTAAATGAATCATTTATCGTATGGTATGAAGAAATTTTAAATCAAAACCTGATAAACTTTTGAACTTGATGAAATAAATAACCTTATTAAATTTCCGCTGAAAATTAAATTTTGTACTCCTCATCTTCGTTCATTGTTGGGGATATTAAATTTTGAAAAAGATGTTGGGGATGTTTTGTATTCTGACACTGGTTCCAATTTCATTTTAATCAAATGTGATAAAGTTAATACCCCAATGAGATTTTCACATCAAACATTAGACCCTAACTCTTACCCATCAATACAAAACATTTTATCCATCAACTTAAACACATTTTCTTTATCATATCCGTTTCAATTATCCGGGAATTCATTTATTCTTCATTCAAAAGATTTATCAAATATTAAATTTAGAATAACTGACCTATTTGATTGTGATTTAGAATTTATGAATGAAATATTATGGCAATTTCAAATAGAGAAAATAGCTGATGAGATAACGGATTAAATATTTATTTTTAAATCGTAATAAATGATTAAACAACAGCAACTTAAGGCGCAAAGCGCCCAGGTCCTTCAGACCATTACATACGCCATATATGCATATAATTCAAAGACGGCAGAACAAACGCAAAGGTTGAAATATGGAGATTTGGAGATAGTATTGAAAAATGACCATTTCGAATTCGTTTGCAAAAGTGGTGCAGTGATATCAAATATAAAAGAAATTTTATTTATGAATTCAAAAATTAAAGGAATAACGGATGATATAACATCAATTCCACCAGAAGAACAGAAATATTACGCATTAAATGCATTTCCTAAAGTTTTGAAGATTGGAAGATTTAATTTAAATGAGGAATTCATAGAAGGTTTCCTAAATGACATAATGAAGAAGGCAAATTTGGTTTATGTTGATGAAAAAGATAATGAAATTAAAGAAAAGGTTGAATGGTATCATGAATGGACATTGGAGACTTTTAAAGTTAAAGCTGATACAGAATGGGTTTCAGGATGTTTAGACCTTAAAGCAGATAAAACTTATGTTAACGATGAGTTAGAGAAGAAAGCAGATAAACATATGTTAACGATGAGTTAGAGAAGAAAGTAGATAAGGAAAAAGTTATTTCATTCATTAATACTGAGTTAGCAAAGAAAGCTGATATATCATTTGTTAATGAAGAAATAAAACAATCAGAGGTCTATTTTACTCCACCATTTTTAAATTTTATGAAATCATCAGATAAAACCTTTGATATAGATTCTTTTGAATGGATATGTTTCGATGGAGTGACCACGTATTTATTTTATACAGCTGGGGTGCTTTATTATTTTAAAACAAATGATTTTAAAAACTATGAATCATTTACTCCATCTGTTTGGAATCCTGATACACGAAAGCCAATCATTAATCCAAGAATTTTATATGTTGAATATAATAACGGTAAATTTATGGAAATGATAACGGTTGGAGATGATTTTTGCCCTTGTTATTCATTCGATTGTATCCAATGATTCAAATGTAATTTAAATCAAGATGCTAAATTTAAATATCCAAATAATCCTATTAGATGCGTTAATAATAAATGGGTACTAATTTATGAAGTCAATCAAATTTTCATTAGTGAGGATGGGATAAATTATTATATGTTTAGTATGATGTCATCAGATTTGGAAATTGATTATACAAGTAAGTGGTATTACATTAACAAATGTATTTTATCCTACAAAATGATAAAATTTATAGATCATCTTCAATACCACAAGGTCAATTTGAACAAATTTTTCAAGCTGATGGAGACATTGAAGTTTTATGTTATGCTTCAAATGTTTGTGTTCTTGTTTCAGGTGGTATGGTCTATTCATATCCTGTAAGTTATAACAGACATATTTATTTATCACAAGATTTTTCACAGGATCCAGAGAAAACACCAAGTTGGGAATTGGTTTTTCATTCACTCCAAAACTTACTCGAAATTATAGATTTACTAATTTATTTTATATTGATGGGTATTTCATTGCTTTAGGATGTGGTGATTTAGTAAATATCAGTAGTGATGGAAGAAACTGGTCTGAAATCACAAAATTTCAAGATGTTAGAAAAGCAATTTTCAAAAATAATACGTTAATATTGATGACAAGACCAATTTTAATTTCTTACCCAGTTTCAATATTATATAATAAATTCAATATTCATAATGGATTAAATACAATTCTTGAGATGATTTACCCCATTGGTTCAATATATACATCAATGAATTCAACAAATCCAGCTGATGTATTCGGTTTCGGTACATGGCAACAAATAACCGATCGTTTCCTCTATGTGCTAATAGTTCAAAACAAACCGGTGGAAGTAAAAAGATTACTGGCGAAAATTTACCTGCTCATAGTCATTATGTTAATTTAAACACTCAAGACTCGGGCTGGCATAGTCATACTTATACTAATTCGTTTGAATATCCTGATGGAAATAATGGATTTCCTGATGGATGGTCTGATAGAGACGCTAGCAGGGGTAAATATTGGTACGGTAATAAAAATAGATGGAATGAAGGATATACTTCAAACGGTTCGGGTACACATTCACATAATGTTTCAGGATATACACAAACGACAGGAAGAGGTACAGATTACATGCCACCTTATATGACAGTTTATGCATGGTTTCGCGTTCAATGAACGCTCAATGTTTGTTTCACAAACTTTAGAACGGCATAATTTAAATTTTTATTTTAGTATAAATGAAGATTCTACCATATGGTGTTATTGGAAGAGATAAAGATGGAAACCCAATATTTGATCCAAAGTTAAAATTAAAGTTGCTGAAACCAAAACAGGATGAAAAAAGAGAAAAATGAGAAAATGAGAAAATGAGAAAATGAGAAAATGAGAAAGAAAAAAATTTAAATTATGCAATTTTATTTTTATCATAAATGACAAAATTAATTAAGCCAACTATTTCTAAATTAATGATACCAATGAAATCATTTCATGGAGTACTTATCCCGGGTTCTTCACAATTAGCCGGGGCAAGTGTTGTGGCTCAAGGTGGAACATTAGCGAATCCATTCAAATTAACTAAAGATGAACTTAATAAAATGATGATAAATAACTGATAACAAAATTTTATTTTTATATAAATGGATACCCACAAGCTCAAAATTTACCACGAATCATAACAAGGGAGGAAATGATAAAAATGATGCAAGAACGAATTAAAACAACAAACCACGAAACCGAAAAGATGCGGTTATGCAGTAATGATGGAAAGAAGAACCCAGAAGGGTTCGGCGTCTCGAAGAGACGTTGTCGAAGAGGAATAAAAA